TTTCAGGATGGCTTTTATTTCAGGGACCACCTGGACCAGATGCCCTACACTACCATGTGCATCAAGGAGGCCATGAGGCTCTACCCACCTGTACCAGGTGTGAGTCGAGAGCTCAACACACCTGTCACCTTCCCTGATGGACGCTCCTTACCCAAAGGTAATCAGAACCAGTTGCCTAAGTCCTCATGTGTACTCTGTTGTCTCAATAAATTGGATCCTTATTTTGAAGTTGAGCTGAGGTCATAAAATTGAGACTGAGGAAGTCTTCTGGAAGAAATGCCACCCCCTAGTTAAATGTCATTCTCAGCTTTGAAATTGCAGTCACTTGAGATATTCAGGGTTGAAAAAGAACAACACAAGTCTTGGGACGATGCAGTTTTATTCATGAGTAAAAGCAAATGAGAAAGATAATGGAATCCTGCATGTTGGTGCAATGCTTCCCAGTGTCTCGGGAAATTTGAGTTGATGAGAGAAAGGAGCCAGGGATAAGTTCTGGGCTCCTTATCTCTATAGGGAAACATGTATTAGTGAACTGGTCATTGGGTATGATACCAGGTCTGCCACATCCTAGCACTGTAAACATAAGAAAAGATAACGGGCCTCATGGACAGTTTAGTATTTCATATGAAAAATGGGCATAAAACAGCACCTTAGGAACGGCGGGGAGGGACTTGTGAGTGTTCTGTGAGCTAATGTGTGTTCTCTGATTGTACATGTCAGACATTTGATGAGTGTGTGTTGACACTTCACTTACAAGAAGCAGATGCTCCCATACTTCACTGCTCTCTATCATCACCAGATTCATGGTTCTCTAACGCACACTTTGCTAAGCTCCCTTTGCCCAAAGGATCATCAGCTCTAAGTGATGACTCCTTAAGCACATGCCAGTCTCCTGATGGATGTGAGTCTAGAGCCCCAATTCTTTGGCTTAATTTCACTCTATGTCTTCCCCTCACAGGTTTCACAGTCGCAATCAGCATTTATGGCCTTCACCATAACCCACGCTTTTGGCCAAACCCTAAGGTATGAAGGCCCTGAGAATAGAGAAGAGCCACTCAATTGCAACTTCAGACAGTCTGTCTCCTTTTGCATTGGAAATGGGCTTGACTTCGGTTTGTCCTGGTCCCTGTGCTCTCTCTGCAGGTGTTTGACCCCTCTAGATTTGCACCAGATTCTTCTAGGCACAGCTACGCTTTCCTGCCCTTCTCAGGAGGAGCAAGGTGATGGGAAAGGGTTGGGAGGAAAGGGAGGCCCTGGCACGTATTAATATTTTGTATTTCTGATTGCTTCTGTTTCATTTGGTCTACTTTTGTGTATTATTGGTATGTGTGGACAGATAGTGTCAGGTATATGTGTGCCAAAAAGAAAGATGACAATTCAGTATACCACAGAGGGTTTTAATCCACTGCCCAGTGGTTACTGAAATATTTGTGAGAAAAATTATTATATTTTTGTATTTTTACAAATGCTGAACTTCATATTTCTGAATTGTATTCCTTATGCAAGTTAAAGCAAGAATTTTAGTTTTCAATGACATTAAAGGGAGAATTTTTCATTACCAAAATTCCCAGTAGGTTTTCTTGTTAATTCAACAGTTGGATGCTTCTATGAGCCCCTGAAATACATGTACCTATAAACATATATGTAATAAATATATATTAAGAATTACAGGTTATATATACATATATAATTCTAGGAATTTTGTGGGCGTTTCTGTTAAAGTAATATATATAAGAGTTCCCAGCTCATTGTCTGATGGACACCAGAGGCTATCATCTTACAGTTTTGGCCTCTACCCTCACAACAATTTTACCGCATGGACAAATGTTTGCAACTTGTATTTCCCAATTTGCAAAGTCCTGCTTATGGGAAGGGACATCAGCTACAGAGGATTCAGAGCTAGTTAGTTCTTAGCTTGTCCTTTGGATGTGATAGTGAGGGTAATGAGGAGCATCTCTGGCAACTTCAGCAGTGTGATCTGAAATAGGAAGTGAGGCT